AAGTCCAAAATCTCCACTCTATTCTCTAATACCACCTTTAACTCCACCCTTCCCATCACTGCGACTTCTGATCCATCCAACTGACGGATCTTGATGTCCTCCCGTTTAATTATCCCTTCCGACCAAATACTCTGATATTTCTCATATCCCATCACGGATATGGCTGCCCCGGTATCAAATAACATGGATACCATATTTCCATTCAAATTTATCCAAACTCTAGGGCAAGGATCATGTATCCTTTCCTCTTGTATCATATATATGCCCTTTGATACCCAATCTTTCTCACTATAATCTAATCTTTCCATCTCTTTCGCCCAAAGCCCCCGACCTTTGCGGCATGCTCTTTGCCATCATATAGTCACAAATACTCGCAATCTCTCGCCCCATGTCCTTCCTTCCGGCAACGGAAACAGATTCTATTCTGCTCTTTATTCACAGCCAAAAATGGTATTCCTACCTCTTTATTTTTTTCACTTTCTATAATTCTAACATTTGGAGCACTTTGCCCCATGTCCCTCTGCGGAAAACCGCCTCTAGTTTTGAAATTACCCACATTGCATTCCTCCCTATTATGACCAAATCGACCACAACCTGCACATCGTAGCTTATCACGTCTTCCTGAACAAAACGTGGCTATATGTCCATATTTTCCACATTCAAAACATTTCGTTTCTTGGCAATCTCTGACCATATGTCCCTGTCTTCCGCAATTATAACAATTCATTCTCCCCCTTACTCTTGAATCAAAGTTAGGTCTCATTTCTCCTCTCCTTCCCTGTGAACTTTCTCTAGGTCCCCTATATGTCCCCAATCTCTGATTAGTATATGAATCTCTCCTTTCAGGCCTATAGGTTAATTTATCTAATTCGCTATCCGTCCACCCATTAATTAACTCCTGCACTGGGAACCATGTTACCTTTCCCATAACATCCTCTTCCCCATTATGTCCTTCTATAGTCAATGTCTGCCCCTTTATTTTCACACTTCGACTTCTTCTCAACTTTCTTCCCCATATTAAGCTACACATCCATATTACTAATATAACCAATGCCCCAAAAATATTATATTGTATTTCCCAGTATTTTACAAATTTTAAACTTTTCATTTCGACCTTATAAAAAATTTATAATTAATTTCAAAATAAAAATTTTTGTTATTTGTAATGTTAATAGATATGATATTATTAATAGTGTAAACAACCCAATAATACACATGTACATCTACAGTTAATAAGTCTAAAGATACGACAAAAATTTGGGCAAATTTTGTGTAACAGATTTACAACTCGTAAAATTCGGACAGCACTTCCGTACGATAAGACTTTTTTTTTATTTTGAGAGAGCAGAGAAAGGAAAAAAAAATAAATGGACAAATTTTGTGTAACAGATTTATAACTCGTAAAATTCGGACAGCACTTCCGTACGATAAGACTTTTTTTTTATTTTGAGAGAGTAGAGAAAGGAAAAAAAAAATAAATGGACAGCTGATGTCGATGATGAAGACGATGTATACTTCACTTCAAGACTCAAATACCACTATATGATATTTTTCACTCGAAGACTCAAATACCACTATATGATATTTTACCGCAAATGTAGATGAAGACGATGTACAATTCACTTCAAGACTCAAATACCACTATATGATATTTTCCACTCGAAGACTCAAATACCACTATATGATATTTTACCGTAGATGTAGATGAAGACGATTTCACTTCAAGACTCAAATACCACTATATGATATTTTCCACTCGAAGACTCAAATACCACTATATGATATTTTACCGTAGATGTAGATGAAGACGATGTACAATTCACTTCAAGACTCAAATACCACTATATGATATTTTCCACTCGAAGACTCAAATACCACTATATGATATTTTACCGTAGATGTAGATGAAGACGATTTCACTTCAAGACTCAAATACCACTATATGATATTTTCCACTCGAAGACTCAAATACCACTATATGATATTTTACCGTAGATGTAGATGAAGACGATGTACAATTCACTTCAAGACTCAAATACCACTATATGATATTTTCCACTCGAAGACTCAAATACCACTATATGATATTTTACCGTAGATGTAGATGAAGACGATGTACACTTCACTTCAAGACTCAAATACCACTATATGATATTTTCCACTCGAAGACTCAAATACCACTATATGATATTTTACCGTAGATGTAGATGAAGACGATGTACACTTCACTTCAAGACTCAAATACCACTATATGATATTTTTCACTCGAAGACTCAAATACCACTATATGATATTACGACAACCGCACTAACCAGGTTGCTTTGTATAAACACGGCACCAATTTCAAAATTTCACCGTACAGAAATGTTTAACTTAACAGTATATTTATTTATTTTTTTACCCCTTTTTTTTTTGAATAAATTGGTTTTATTTTTCTTTAAAACAATAAAAAAATATAATTGATAATAATAATGAATTTCCACTTTTTTTTAGTTTATATAAGATTATTATTATTTTTTTTATAAATATTAAATTATTATTTATTTTTTTTTTACATAATAAATATTAAAAATATTTATATAATGACGTTCAAGATGACTGCGCGAAACAAAAAAAATATTAAAAATAAAATTTCAAACAAAAAAATATTTATATAATGACGTTCAAGATGACTGCGCGAAACTAAAAAAAAATATTAAAAATAAAATTTCAAACAAAAAAAAATATTTCATGACTCATACAAAGAAAATAATAAAACTATTTATAACAATTATATAATATTTATATTATTGATAATAAATTACTTTAATTAAATAAGGGAATATTAATTAATATTAGTTTCCATCTGGTTATCTTTCGTTAATTAAATGTTATAAAAATAAATAGTGTAGACATCAACAATGAACAACAAGTTGATCGTTCATATAGATGTCTATCTTGTATTCTAAACGGATTGAAGCTAAATCATAACAAAATTTTTACGTCATTTATGGTTAAGTTAAGAGGTGGTCAAGCCGAGTTTTATCAGTAGTCTTGTTTATAAGTCGTTATTCTTTAATAAATGTTTTATTTTACAAATGTAACAAAGCTAAAAAAAAGCGTATTTTTCAAAATAAAAGGATTTAAAAGTTAATAAACACCTCCAGGTGATGGATGGGACATGGCATTTGTAAAATAACTTAAAACTATTGCCAATCAAAGCTACAGACTTTCGAAATTTCAGTTTTGGGGCTCTTTTGAGTTATGAGCTTGATTTGGGATTTCGCTCATTTTCAAAATCAAGCAGTTAGTTTTTTTTAAAGTGTGACTATTCTTTTCTCGGCAAATTCCTAATAGATCATAATTACTATAAACAAGGCAATGAGGTCTATGCAAAATCCCCGCACATGTGTTCGTTTGCCTCATACCATACTCCAGGGAGTTAAGGTATATCCAACAGACCGTAAATTTTATATAACTCAAATATCTCACGGTTCTAGGTGTGAAAAAAGAATCTTTTTTAAATATAAAAAATTTTGGATAATTTTATTAATTTTATTCGCGTCTTATATATTTATAACCACATTGAACGAGACAATTGAGTGTATGTCTAAGCTGTAAGAGAAATGTGTCTAAGCCTAATCTAAATTACCTAATTACTATATCATAATCGTTTTTCATTTTCGTTTTTCATTTTCGTTTTTAATTATAAAAATTAATAAAATGCCTGTCCCTTTTACTTTTAAATGCGAATAGGGCTGTAGGTATGGGTGTGGGCTGTCTATTTTTGGGTTCTTTCCCTGTCAATCAGCATGCGGCTTACCCACAAATCTGTAAAAGGCTTCTTATTCCCTCCCCCCCTTCTAATTTCTATAAATTCAATTAGATGGAGATGAGATAATACCTAGCGTAGCTATGTTGTATCTGCAACGCTGAGAGGGGCGAAGGCGCTTTATCGCGTATCACGTAATTAAAAAACAAAGGAAAAAATAAACACGAAAAATAAATGGTCAGCAGGGAAAAGGATATATAAATTCAAAATAAGAGAAGGAAAACCTAATTATACTTGAGGTTCCTTATAATTTTTTTTTCTTTTTTTTCTACTTTATAAAATTAATCTAAAACTTTTTGTTTAATATAAATATATAGTCGGTCTAGAGTTGGAGTGTTTCACTCAAAATTTTTGAGTTAGAAGTGGATAATAACTTATTTCATTCCCAATATATATAAAACTAAAAACTAGATTAAAAAAATATTAATTTTTGCCAAAGTTAATGTCAAAATTGATCAAATATATTTTTTTAAATTTTAAATGTTGACTCCAATTCTAGGCCGACGATATATTGAAGTCGAGAATTTGGCTTGTCTTTTTGTAAAAAAATTTTTAATGTTAAATATTTTTAATATAGCAAAAAAAAGGAAGGTTGAAAATCGTATATAATAAATTTAATTCACTTCTTTTTATATTCCGATAATTGATAATAATATAATTAATAAAATAAACAATATAATTTAATTGTAATTATTTATAAATATAGTATTATAATAATTTTAAAAAAAAATATGTATATTTTATAATTTGAGACCATAATATTTGCTCAAAAATTTATTTTAGTTGATAAAGTTATGAATAATATTTTAGCCAGAAAAATATTACCTAAGCCTCGAGATTTCTATAATTTATGTGTTAAACCTTTGTTCCTTCTATGAGCATGCGTAATATTTTTCTAGATGAAATACTGAGTTAGCCATTTTTTAAAATTCAGCTCAAAAAGAGCCGTTTAACAACACTAGTTATGAAAGGTTTATAAGGTGGGAGGAGATGGGATTAATTAGGCTTGAGTCGACTATAGTTTTTCCAGGATTTTTTTTTTTTAAATTTAAAAAATATATAAGGAGTAAAAAAAAACGTAATATAGTAAGGATTTTTTAGCAACTCAGAACTCTGCTCTAACAAAATTTAAACGCTTAAATAATCCTGGCGCGTATTTTTTTTTAATGATTGAAAGATCTAATTTTACCGAAATCGTGTTCTAGCATGTAATAGAGTTAACTAACCGGTGAATTTCGGACAATTTCGTCGTTTTTGCCTAATTTTTATAAAATTTATTATAGAAATCGAATATAAGAATCTAAATACAAATTAATGATGGTTTAAAAGTTCAGGGCAAAAGTGTCTACTATACATATACATCATACATAGAAGTTGTACTTTATGTACAGAGTTTACAAAAAATATCCCAGAAGTTATGATTTTAGTATCAAAGTATGCTAAAACAAAGCGGCTGCGAACCCTCCTTCTAAAACAAGGGTTCAGGTTCGGTTAAAAATCTCTGAACCCGGTTTGGGTATATGTTAAATGGTTTACCTGTTTTTATATATTATATGATAGCGGATATCGTGTTTTTTTTCCTGCAATGTGTTATTACTTCAACTTTAATTCATATTTTGAGGATGTTATTGGATTTTGTTGCAAATGTATTCTATCATTGTTTAGAATACCTACCCTAAGAATGTCGGATAATTTTATCGTGAACTATTTGAACTCAATATAATTTATATTATTAATTTTTTCCCATAGATTATTTCGTATAAGTTATAAAATGACTCGAAATTTAACGTTAAAATTATCTACGATTCGTAGATAGGTAATCTAATCATGCTGGACTGCATTGCCGGTAAAATCAAATTTTTATGATTTAAAAAAAAACGCGCTCAAAAAATGACTTAAAGTTGAAAAAATAACTCATTACCACTAACATATCAATTATTTTTATTATATTTTTTTTTTAATAAAGAGTTTAATTTATAAGAAGAAAATTTTGAACCCCGAACCCGAAGTTTAAAAAAAGGGTTCGGGTTTAGTAAAATATTAAGCATTAAGGGTTCGGTTTTACAGCACTGGCTAAAATCTCAGACTCACTAAACACTTACGACACAGATAAGTCGTAAATTTAGCGGGTTTTATAGCGAATTTTCATAACGATATTCGGAATATCCCAATTATAGTTCAATTACGAGCGCTATTTATGAAATTAGAAAATACGTAACATTTTATAGCGAAATTCGACGAAATCTAATAGGATATAGGTACTATTCTATACATTTTTTGGTTTCAAAATTAAAAAAAAAAAATATCTCATCCTTAGGCGATCTAAATTTGAATCGATATTCCTAATCTCAGCCGAATCCTCAAGTGATGATTCCTGATAACTGATTATACCCTGATAATTCATAACACACTCCCCTTTTATAACATTGCGCTATTATAATACACCAATACGAAACATATATCGATTTTATATATAAATCTAATAGGAAATCAATGAAACTATTGAGTTGAAACAAAAGTTATTATCAAAAGCTGATGATGAGTAAAGTTAAGAAAGTTTTAAAAATGTTTAACACAAAAAAAAGGAACAATTTTTTTTTTATATTTAAAAAAAAATTTTTTAATATATTTTATAAAGGTTTTAATTTAATATTTTTATTTTTAATATCATTTAAATTTCAAAAAAAAATATTTAAAAAAAACTAATTAAAATTAAAAAATATTATTTTTTATATTCCCTATTTCAAAGGAAAATAAAATGTATTTTATATTATATATTTTTTTTTGTATATAACACTAATTTTAATTAAAAGAAGAAAGGTAATATAATTTAAAGAACCTAACAATAAATAACGCAATACTATAAAATATAATAAAAAAAAACCTATAAAATATTTTTTCTTTAAAAAAATTGAACAAATTAAATTGATAATATTATTATCCCTTTTTATAAGAATTTTATCGCTTATTCTCCCTCCTTACACATAAATATTATTTTAGAAATGAGCTTAAATTAGACAACAATATAAAAGGTACCAGTTCTCTAAAGAATGAAAATGATAAAATGAAAGAAAAAGAAATAAAAGAAATGGAAGAGAAGAGAAGTGAAGAGAAGAGAAGAGAAGAAGAGAAGAGAAGAAGAAGAAGAAGAAGAAGAAGAAGAGAGAAGAAGAAGAGAAGAAGAAGAAGAAGAAGAAGAGAAGAGAAGAGAAGAAGAAGAGAAGAAGAGAAGAGAAGAGAAGAGAAGAGAAGAAGAAGAGAAGAGAAGAAGAAGAAGAAGAAGAAGAAGAGAGAGAGAGAAGAGAAGAAGAAGAAAAGAAAAGAAAGGAAAATAAAAAAATGCGAAAAGGAAGCGAGAAAAGGAAATAAAAAGAAAATAATGAATAAAGAAATCATATTTTTTTTAAAAAATGAAAGAGAAGAAAAATAAATAATTTATTTTCAATTTGTGGAAACTCCTTTTTAAAATTTGCCAAAGTAAAGAAAACCCTTATCTAAAAAAAAGTATTTCAAAAAATCTTCAGTCCCCCAACTCCGCCTGATAACGGCGCTACTAAAACGTAAGATATCGATCCCCCCCGTAATGTGCTATTTACCCTAAAATATTCAAATCAGAACTACGATGAAAAGTGTAATAAATTCACCAAAAAATAGCATTCAAATACGCTTAGGCTCGACCTTAAACTACATAAATTCCTGAAAACGTATCTACTTATTATAATTTGCAATTCTAAATATCATAGGCGTAGCGGAAGTCTCCATCGACAACTCATTGCAAAAGGTAGGAAAAAATGGTTCCCCGTTAACGTGAAGGGGAAGATAACTTCATAAAATGTTTTTTTCGCCCTGAAAAGTTGACCTGATACGCCTTCCGCTAATTAAAAGGCCTTCGTAAACTAAAGAGCCCTTTAATCAATCACTGTAAGAACTATTGCTATTATAACTGTCATAATATCTTCAAAACTTTATAATTGAATTTTATAAGGGATAAAAAAAAAACTAGTTTAAGAATGATTGATATAACAAACATTAATTATTTTTTTTTATAAGAATTTTAATGGAAAATTTTTTATTTTTTCAAATTATTTTACGTGGATTTGGACTAAATTTTAAATTGGATTTTAAAGGGATCTAGAATTTTGTATTTAAAACTATGTCCTATGAGATTTAAATGTTAAATTTAAACAGTCGCTCACTTTTTTCAAGCTCTGCAGTTTAGCGCATGACCAGGGATACAAATATTTGAGAGTTTGAGCATTACAAAACGCATGATTTAGGAATTTATCTTTGTAAGTCCTTTCTAACTTTTATTGAAGGATCTATTTCCCATACTATGCTGTCTCTTGAAAAATTTTCAAAATAATATGTTCAACATATTATCGCTTTTAAAACTAGAAATCAGCATTAGATGCTAAATTGATGAAATTCCCCAGTGAGGACGCAGCCTTAGTTCATAAAGTTTCTATAGAAGCTCCGAAGTTATGTAAAAGATGACTCTAATTAATTTCCCGGACGTATTATCTTGTTTGGGACATTTCGCAGCCCCATTATATGAGATTCCCTCATCACTATCTTTTTATTATTTTTTTCAAAGTATGTGAAATAGCTAGACACCCTTCCTCCCTCAGTAAAGGACTTTGCACCTTCCTCTCCCGATAGCAAAGATATAAAATGGATCCAACTATGTGTGTAAGAATACCTTCTTAAGCCACCTCCCTCTTAAAAATTCAATGACAATATCTATACCCCACCCCTCTTTCCGTGTTAGTAGGCGCTTATCAATCGGCTTAAATTTAGAGAAAGATTTATTTATTTAAGAATTTTAGCGAATTTTTTTTTGTTTTATAAAATTATAATTGTTGTTAAATTTTGGGAATATCCTTTTTTTTATTATCACGTTTTGCTTTCCATTGTGAGCTTTGCGTAATTTTATTACGAATTAATTTTTTTTTAAAAATTAAATTAAAATTTCCTATTTAGGTTCTAGCTAATTATGTTTAAAAATAAAATATAATTCTTGGATATTAAAATTTCGCGACAAATCATTTATTTATAAAAATTAAAAAAATATTATTTAATTTTAAAAATTATAGGTTTAGGAAATGATAAAATTACCATATTTAGCAATAAGTATATATATCTATTTTTTTTAAAAAATAAATAATATTATATCGAATTAACTTCAATTAAGTTGAAAACTCCTATCAAAGTACGGTAAAAAATCTGGTCGAAACACTGGCAACAGAATTTATGAAGGAGAGAGCTCCCTCCTTCCCATAAATCTCCCAAACCCCTTTCCCGATGTAGTGTTGTTAAACGGCTCGTTTTGAGCCAATTTTATAAAACGGCTAACTCAATATTTTAACTAGTGACAGAAATTTATGTTGATAAAGATTAATCTAGAAAAGTTAGTAATCATACCTAAAAGTTACATTCTTTCAGTAATATTTTTTGGTTAAAAAAAAGGGTTAGCCTTTCGAACTTACGATGCCTAAAATTTTGACAAATTTTAGATCACAAATCTTTTAACTCATTTTAGATCACAAATCTTTTAACTCATTTTTATATAAAAATACACAGTATAACACTCATTTTATATTTATTTCCCTTTGTATAGGGTTCAAGGTTGCAACCACCGGCTGGATCATTCTGCTTTGATCAACAACTAAAGATTGCTCAAATTACTCATTCCATATTTTTGAGAATCTGCGAATCTATTTCCGGAAAATAATAAAAGGGCCAGGCAGAATTTCGGCTTTTGCCCCTTTTATGAGTTTATACCTGCTTCGATACATCATAGACTTATCAGTCAGCTGTAATAGCAAAAAATTTGTTTTTTTTATCCTAAAAGATAACCAATAATATCCTTGGTGGTATTTTCGGAGAGGGTTGTTATGAAAATTATTCAAAATAAGCGATTGGTAAAAATCACTAGGCTAAAATGCCAGGAGGGAAGGGCAGGGCTCAATGAAATACATTAACCATAAGAAAATCTATAGTATAATTGCCCATAATGCAGAAACTGTTAAATGGCTCGTTTTGAGCCGATTTTTAAAAACGGCTAACTCAATATTTTAGCTAGAAAAAAAAATATTGCCTAAACCTCGAGATTACGATAATATTATGTTCTTGCACCATTGTTCCTCCTATGAACACAATCTTCAGGCCTGCGTAATATTGTTCTGGAAAAAATATTGAGTTAGCCATTTTTTAAAATCGGCTCAAAACGAGCCCTTTAACAACACTAGTTAGTAACCGGGTCGCATAACCTATTCATACAGAGCATTAGGAAAACTTATATAATATTTATTTTATATTATATATTTTTTTTTATATCTTTATATTCAGTTCTTAAATAAATATTTATAAAAATATTTTTACCTGAATTTGTAAAATTAACATGCTTCTTCTAAAAGAATATCACATATCAAAATATTTATTTTATTTTAAATTTTGTATTCTTTTTATAACATGGAATATTTTTAAAAATTAAAATTAAAATTTGCAAAAAAAATATAAATATAAATTTATTAAGCAAATTTACAGTTGCTTATTATATTTTTTTATAACTTTTGATAAAAAATTTGTATTTTGTAATTTTATATTTTTTAAAAAAATTTTTATAACAAATTGTGTATAATATTTTATTTTTAATAATAAATATTGACATTATAAATTATAGATTTATATATATATTTTTTTTTTATTAATTATAAATATTTATAAAATTCTGAAAATATTTAAAATAAAATAAATATTCACGATTATTTGGTTTAAATTTTAAATTTTAAGATCAAATTAATTTTAATTACTTTTAAAAAAAAAATTATTGTCAAAAACAACACCTTCTCGTAATTATCTCATATTACTAGTGTTGTTAAAAAGCTCGATTTGGGTCGATTTTTTCAAACGGCCAGATTAAGATTTTAGATAAAATTGTATATAAGCAATGTTCTCTTCTCTTCTCTTCTCTTCTCTTCTCTTCTCTTCTCTTCTCTTCTCTTCTCTTCTCTTCTCTTCTCTTCTCTTCTCTTCTCTTCTCTTCTCTTCTCTTCTCTTCTCTTCTCTTCTCTTCTCTTCTCTTCTCTTCTCTTCTCTTCTCTTCTCTTCTCTTCTCTTCACTTCTCTTCTCTTCTGATGTCCCAGCATTTCTGCCAGCTATGAGCAAAATCTTTAGGCTTACATGATGTTATTTTTTGGTTATAATCTCAATCGGCCCGAATAGTAGCTTTTTAACAACACTACATATTTCTTACCTTCAATAATTAATTTTTTTTTTAATTTTTATATATATATAGGGAATAAATATGTTATTATCCACTTCTAAACTCCAAAATTTTGAATGTTTAAAATGAGAGAATCAAACATTAAAGTTTTAAAATAAAATATAGGAAAAAAAAGTAAACACTTAATTATAAAACCGCAAACAATGGTGAGATGGTTAAAATAGACCTAAAATCTCATTTAAAAATCGTACTAGGATAGTTGGGTGAAGGATTATTGATTTATAAATAAATTGTAAAAAAAAGGAAATTATCGGGATTTAAATGATTGGATTTTTGGGCGATATTTATTTTGAATCTGACTGAGAATGGATCAATCCCCTTTCCATTCCCATATTCTTAAATGAAGAAAATATCGACGACAGAATTTTTTGCCCATTTTTGCCCGGAACTAAAGAAATTGCTCAAATTAGAAAAGATATAATCATTGTTTATGGAATTGAAATAAAAAATTTTATTTGAATTATTGAATTTTTTTTTTTTGAAAAATAAAAAAAATTTTTAATTTATTTGTTTTATTGTTTTTCTTCTTCTATATTTTTTGTCAAAAATTTTTTTTTTCTTTTATGCCAAATCACGGCCTAATTAACCATTTTAAAAAAATACGAAAATTTATAATTTTAAGATCTCGCTTGAAGTAAACCGCGCGATTTGTTTAAATTCTGGGTAAATTTTTATAAGCAAATAAATAATGGGCAATAAGGACTGAGCGATGCGATGAGACGTTTTACGCCTATAAACGCTATGATAAAATTTGAAAATCATATGTTGCGACGCGATTGGCGCGGTTATAAACGAAGCCCATAAATAAGAGATTGTTATATTTACGCTACGACGTCCAAACCTGATTAATATTTTTCGTAAGCCTTAAATTATTAAAATTATAATGTTCTAACTCTTCCGCTCCTTAAGATTAGGTGGCTTAAGTCCTTTTATTCTCTTTTTCATCAATATTCCTCCTTTAGCCTTAGGGTCCCACTCTCCCTGCTTTTCACCTGCTTATATAATTATTTACAATTATAGCATCATTATTTGATATTATCAGAACTAAATATTTTATTTAGAACTAAATTCACTCGCGATACCACTGAGATTGGTGGGGGGGGGGGGGATTGACGCAAGGTCGTTATTGAAATTGTAGGGGAATAAATAGTATTTAAAACGCGATTGCCATTTGAAGCAGGGGGTGGTAACAATTTCAAAGGATTAAAAGGGGGGGTTGGGAGTGGGAAGGTTATGATTGTTATTGGCTTAGGGTGGGAGTGAAGATTGTCATGCTTTTATTCTAAATATTCTTCTCAACTTTTTAATTAAAACTTTGACTTAGAGGTTTTTATAAGTTTTATTTTATTTTTTTTTTCAAAAAAGGTCAATAGTTTCTAATAAGTCGTAATGGAGTTGGCCAAAGTTAGATGATTAAATGTACGCTACTAATCAAGCTTCACCTTTTGAGGGCTCGGACACCCTAGCCCCCCCCCCTTCCCTCTCAAAAAAAAATTTTTTTTTTCTGAGAAATCCTTAACTCTCCCCAAAACTTGAAGAAAAAATAAATAAAATGGAAAAAAAAAATTTTTTCCGGTCATGGGTTACTTTATTTGACAATTTACTGATATGCTATATTGTCAAAATGTAGTAGCAAATAATTATTTTTTTAAAAATGTGAAATAAATAAAGGTGAAAAATGTAGAAATAGAATTTACGGGAAAGAATGGGGGGATAAAAAAAAATGAAGCTAGGAATATGGAAGGTTATTAGATGGAAGAGATGAAACTAGTTAGAGCGAATAATGGCGGTAGCAAGTCTTTGGCGTAAGAAGAGGGATTTCTTGGGCTGATCGGTTATTTCGCAAACCCGTTTGCCTAATTCTTTGAAAAAACGTTGAGCTTTGCTACCGGAGGTGGTGAGAATGGAGCAGGCGATGAGCATGAATAAGAAAGAAGGATCTAAGGAACTCTACTTTGATGGTTTTTCGAGATTCTGCGAGGGCGAAGGCACCGACGTTATGGTTAGATGGTGCATTTGGGTCAATGCAGGTGAAATCCCAAACCAGGATTTTTATTAATATTTTAGATTGTTAAAATGTTGATTAACGATTATTTACCTTTGTTTCGATCAAAATTAAATACAAATACACGATAATATAGTGTTGTTAAACGGCTAGTTTTGAGCCGATTTTTAAAAATGGCTAACTTCAATATTTCATCTGAAATAATATTATGCAGGCTGAAAATTCTGTCTCGTAGAAGGAACAAAGGTTTGGACCATCTATTTAGCGAAATCTAGAAACATATAGACAATATTTTTCTGGCTAAAAATATTTAGTTAACCCTTTTTAAAAAAATGGCTCATAACTAGCCCCTTGACAACACTAATTACTAGGGTCAGCTTATCTCCTCGGTCTAACCATCACTGTGACCTCTAATTTTTATTATAAATTCTATTTTAAATTCCTATTATTTCATGTTCTGCAAAAAAATAGATTTTTTTTTTAACATTCATTTATAAAATAGTAAATAAATTTCGAAGGAATCATCGCTTTATAATGTAATGTCAAAAATCTATAATTTAAAATGAATAGAATTCAGAATTAAGTATAATAAACATTAATTCGTATTATTTTCTAATTAGTTTTTCTTATCTAAATTCCTTGCAAATATTTTTTTTAAAAAAACATACACATTTCCCTTAGGACATTGTTTCGTTTAAGCCGGAGACAGAGTGAAAACAATCTCTATTATTTTCATTAATTATTATTAATTACTTTTTCCAACGAGGCTAAGTTATTTCAATTAAATTATTTTAATACATATATGTATTTTTTTACTTTTAATGATATAATTAATAAAATTCTTATTCGTTGAAAGTTAAGGAGTTTCCCTGACAAAATATAAATGTTTAAAATTTTATTTTTATTGTCCAAAAAAAAAAAATTTTCACGGTATGTAATTTGATTATTTTTTCTTTTTATTTTTAAAAAATTTTTATTTTGATAATATTGATATTGTTATAATTTTTAAAAAAAATGATAAAACACAAAAATATTAAAGCAACTATATTAGCCGTTTTGAAAAATCGGCTCAAAACGAGCCGTTTAACAACACTACTATTAATATATATTTTTACATATTTTCAATATTTTAGTTAGAAAAATATTGCCTAAGCCTCGATATTTCGATACTATATGTATAGACCTTTGTTCCTTCTATGAGCAAAATCAGGCTTGGGTAATATTTTTCTGGATGAAATATTAAGTTGGCCGTTTTTAAAAATTGGCTCAAAACGAGCCGTTTAACAACACTAATTAATAGTATCGAAGACTCTAAAAAGATCTTAATTAACATCATCGCTTATTCGGCTAATTATTTATTTTCTTAAAGAATTTGATGAGTGCAGCAACGTGCGGTAGATAAATGACCTCAGTGTGAAACAATATATATATATATTTGGACAGATATCAGATTTGGGAAACTATGTAAGGGTACAATGATGTTTTAAATATGGTCTAAAAAAGGGTTTGGCTTCCATGGTGATCTAAATTTAAAATTTCTTAATTTTTTATAAATGGGTTTTTTTTTATTTGATTTTAAACCAAAAATCACATTATATGGTTTGGGATTAAGTGTTGTTGAACGGCTCGATTTGAGCCGGTTTTTAAAAACGGCTAACTCAATATTTTAGCCAGAAAAATATTGTCTAAGCCTAGAGATTTCGTTAATAGATGTTTAAACCTTTGTGACACCTATAGGCAAAATCTTAAGGCGTGCATAATAATTTTCCTAATATAATATTGAGTTAGCCGTTTTTAAACACACTATTTGCGATTATCTAAAAAAATATATATATTTTATCGTCATTTTTACGATACAAAATAGTGTTTAGATCCAATATTTCGATCCTCGGGGGAGCGGAAATAAAATTTTGCTCCTTTTTAGATGTTATATTATAAATAAAACAAATAATTAAATTTATGATAAAGATACATCAATTAGGCTTCAAAAAAAAAGATAATTAAATTGATAAATCATATCATAAATATGGAAACAATTTTTAAAATAATTTATTAAGTAATTACGCGAAACGATTAATATTTATGATTTGATACAATTATTATTATATATAAGAATAGTGACCGCTTAGAGAGAAAGAAAGAAAGAAAGAAAGAAAGAAAGAAAGA